GATTTGACAAAGAAGAAAGGGACAAAGGGACGCAAACGTTCATCTAATGCAAATGTAATGAGATGCAGAAGAAATACTAATTAAAAGGTGATTAAATACGCGTTCTAAAAATAAACTATTGCATACGACGGGAATGTAAGAACTTATCTTAAGTAACAGTAAATAGCATATACACTAACTTAATTGTTATTATTCAATTTAAATTTTCAATTTCAATTTATTTCACTCTTTGTTATAATTACATGATGTTGTGAATGGTATTTTACAATATTTGAAGAGTTTAGGCTAATACATAGTCCTTTTCTGCTAAGTTACTTATTTACATACATGACATATGGATATGGTCGCAAAATAAGGTCTTGAAGCTTATCTTTAATCTTCCATAGAATCATTCCACGATTAATCTAGATTGTCGAGCCAATACTGAACTGGTAGATATTAGACTATTGCGACTATCGCAAAAATGAATAACCAAGTGTCAGGAATCATAATATTCACATATAAACGACCTGGCATAGACTTGTAGTTTTTAGTGTTTAGTATTTAAATTAATTTAATTTAGTTTGTAGTAAACTTTCATGGGGTTTTCTATTTCTTTGTTTTTTTTTTTTTCCAAATATTTGTTAATATTCTATGTAATCATTATGTATATAATAATTCGAAAAATGCTCTGTGTTTAAATATTTAATTAACATGATTCTATAAGCAAACTAATAAAACCACATACATTTGTGATTTTCAGAAATTAGAAATTTATTTATTAATGTCGCTGCTCGCCAATATAAATATACTTAAATATTCTACAAATTCGTATTTTGAGAGATACTACTACGATAATTCCTTGCACATCTGTTGTGCATTACTGTTTCCTTAATATGGACTATTATTATAATTGGTTGTTCTACAAATTGGTTATTTGGTTAATATTGCGTTTTATGATAGTAAGTATTATTAGTCAATATGTTACGAATCATATGCTATCACCTTGTTCACACTCACAGCAGTTGTAATTCCTTACAGCCTTGTTGGGCAAGGACAACTAGGGTCTTGGTGAAAATTGAATAAACTGTAACGTATTTTTGCACGCGCAGCCAATTGCGAGCATAAGATGAATATCCCAGATATAAAACTAGAGCTAAGCGTTGGATTTCCTATTGACGACCTTCGTTTAACGCTCAGTGAAACTGGCCACCAGGCAGATGACGCTATCCAACCCCACCTAGCCTTTGCTAAAGCTACAACTACAGCTACCCTAACGTCAGATTCGCATAAATTAAGTGGAAGCAGCAGCATCACCATCAGCATTGCCCCTCAACCTCATCCTCAGCCCATCGTCTGATTCTCATGGCGCATTTATTTTGCGTGACTTTTGTTGTCAGCTGCACGTCTTGCCCCTTTTAAGCGTTGTCTCTGTTGTGGATGCTGTCGTTCGCGTACTTTGCTCTCAGTTTCCTGCAGCACTAGCCAATTTAATTGCAATTTTTCCTTCACCCAGCGCCAAAGACAAATAACCAAAGCTAATAGATCATGTCATCTTGTCAACAAGTTTTACAGTCTAATTGCGAACATTCAACAAGAGCTAACAAAGACGTTTACTTTGAGCTTCAATTGAAAGAGTGACAATTTCTTAACATCTATTTAAAATTCGATTTTTGTTTAATATAGTTTATCAAATAATTCAATTAATATAGCTTATACAAATTATAGATGAATCAAATTGTAATTAATGCTAAGAAGTTATTGCAATTTATATGTTTTTACGGAATGATCATTCGTGCCAGTTCCTTGAAATTAATTGGTGATCAACCGATCAGCAGCCCGGCTAGCTCAGTCGGTAGAGCATGAGACTCTTAATCTCAGGGTCGTGGGTTCGAGCCCCACGTTGGGCGACAATTTTTCTTTTGTTCTATTTTCAATGCTTATAAAATATAAATAATAAGGGTGTTTATATAAGTTTTTCCCGTACTTCTGTTATTTTCTAACAAATCAATTTCTGTACTCTTAAATGCAAAGAAGTAAAACGCAACACTTTTGTATACCGTAAATTGATTAGAAATAAAATGTCCCATATAAATTAAAAAAAATTAAAAAAATAAATAGAAGTGATTACACATGTATATTTAAGATGTTTAATTATAAAACACAATTCGATGAATTTAAAAAATAATAAAAAGTTGAATCTTGCGATCCTGCCAGGAGTCGAACCTGGAATCTTCTGATCCGTAGTCAGACGCGTTATCCATTGCGCCACAGGACCTGCGAAAAATCTAGAGCACAAATATTTTTCTATATTACCATATTCTGGCTGTTATATACAGTACGTTCCCTGTAAGAACTTAAGCCAAAGTATGTTTGCCCGCTAGCCAGACCTTGCAAACAAATGTAAGAAGTTACTTTTATGCTGTCTTGGCAAATGCAAATGGCATGCCATTCAAACAAACAGAAATCATATTATCCGTACGCTCGTCGCCTTTCGAGTTTCGCCATTCGCCATTCGCCATTCCCCTATTCCTTTAACCACCAAAAGCAATTTTTGATTTTATATCACGAAGCGAACCCCACTCGAAAAGTAAAAATGCAACGATCTGTGCTTGCACATTTCATTCGTGTAGTCCAATCCCAATGGGACTCGTAAACAGGTTTAGCCAGCACGCAAAAGGAACATACAAGAACGTAGCAAAGGAAATGCACGCTGTGTGAGGGAAATGATGTAAAGCAACAAAGGAGGGTGCACCCTAATATACCAGCTCTGGAAATTGGCAATCCTTGACCCGTCATAACGTTCCCTCCCCAGCATCGACTTGCTTTTTCCTTTTGACAGCTCGGTTAAATGAGATATGCTTTTTACATTTTTTCGATAAATTTCGAAGCACCCCAGCTTTCGCAGCAGTGGATAACATTATTAGCGCAAAACTTTGCCATAAAAATGGCAAACGGATTCACGCAACGCTTAAAATTGAGATTTACTGTAAGCGAAATTTATAACAAACGAAAGAAAAAATCCCCTTCAGCGACAAATTTAAGGAGGAAAACTACTTAAACTTCGAGCTTATCAAATGACATTGATGAATGCTTCAGGCAATTAACGTGAACAACGCCGCAGCTGTATAAAAGGGCAGGGTCTGTTACTGCATCGTTCACAAAATGAAGTCTTTAGGTATCGCTCTACTCTGTCTGCTCGGCACACTGGCGTGGGCTCAGAAGCTGGAGAAACTAGTTCAGGTTGAGGAGCCCATACCCGAGGAGGAAAATCCGTTGCCAATTTTTCTTCCAACATATTCCACGGACGATTTTTCACTATCTGCAGCTTCCAAAGTAATTAATGAAAACACGTTTAATATTATATTTTATTAGAAATGAATTGTATACTATTATAAACTTTTATAATTACAGCTAAATTGGTTCCAAGCTGAAGCCGCTTGCGCTTCTCAAGGAGGCTACTCCTTGGTCACGTTAGATAGTGAAGACAAGCAGAATCGCGTATTCCTATTTTTGCTCAACTCGGGTTATTTGAATCTGCTTAATGAGCCGATTTGGACGTCAGGCTCGAACCTGGCAAGCGCTTCTCTATGGAGTTGGTTCAGCACTGGAGCTGCCTTCAAATATCGCCGTTTCCAGACTACACCCAATTCCTCATACCGCTGTCTCGGCCTTAATGCACTTACCGGTTACTGGATTCCTCAAGATTGCAACGCTCAGCGTTATTTCGTATGCGAAAAACGATGCCAATAAATTGAATGAGCATATTTGTTTACTATGCTAATCTATAAAAATATAATAAAAGGTTCTGATTGTAAAAATTCTAATCATTTATTTTAATTATATAATGGTTTTGATTAAACATATGTAATAGGCATAAAATATATATTAATCTTGAAGGGGTCCGAGTCGGTTTACTCTGTCCGTCTATCTATCGTTCGTCTGTATGAAATTGAATTGAATCAACCATATCGCATTATGGAAATGTGGTCGTCTCTCAAATGCACGAAAAATCTTTTTCAAAGTATAAATGTATAGAATATTTATTTAAGCAGTAAATAACTCGGAAATACATATTTAATAAAATACAAATAAATTTCAAAACAAATATTTTGTACTAAAAAAGAACAATATAAAAAGTTGCGTTCAACGGATGCCAACAACACGCGGTGTTCCCAAGCGGTCCCCCATCTAAGTACTAACCGCGCCCGACGTTGCTTAATTTCGGTGATCGGACGAGAACCGATGTATTCAACGTGGTATGGTCGTTGGCGAAAKACRGATGACTGAAAGTTCGCTATAAATGTGGTATGTGAGAACAAGCAGCTGGGAATTTCAATAACATTCAAAACTGTTATAAATAGGGGTTGGTTTTCGAAAGAAATCATCCCTTAAATTCAACAGAGCACATGTATAGCACGAACATAGAGCGCATTGCATTTACTGTTAAAAATCCCGTAAGGTATATATTTATATATTACAACAAATAAACTAATATTCTTCAATTCGGGTTTTTAGACTCATTCACGAAAGTGAAATGAGTATATTGGTTTTGTGCAATGTCCGTCTTGCTGTCCGTCCGTCTGTCCGTATGAACGCAATCTATTTCGGCGCTATTGAAGCTAGAGACTTGAAATTTGGAACACATACTCGTGTATATCTCCGATTTATAAAGTGTTAAAATTTTCCCGATCCGCCCACTAGGGGCGTGGCAAATCGGAAAATGCATTTTCCGATATACCAGAAATCATGTTTGTTGAAGAGCTAGAAAGCTGAAATTTGGTATGTAGGTCCGCGCCGATCACCCAAGATCACAAGCTATGGCGGATATATCTCCGCCCATTAGGGGCGTGGCAAATCGGA